CCCCAAACAGTAGAAATATGCTGACTTTCTTTCTTCCTTTCTGCCCTGACTTCATTCAACCAGAACACCTCTTCACTGAGCGTTATAGCTAATCAAGATTTCCTTCCAGCTGTGTGGGAACATATGCCGTCTCCAGCCTGGTTCCCAGCCCTGGCTAGGATCACTGTCACCTGGGAACTTTTTTAACTTGTGTGTTCCCTGTCCCCACCTCACACCTACTGAATGACAATCTGGAAGGTGAGTGAAGAGGGGGGTGGAGCCATTTCCAGCCCATAAAGCACCTTTTGTACAAATTTGGAGAAGGTTTAGAAATCCTTCAGGTTGCACTTCTTGGCAGGTGGAGGGCAAGCTGGATTTCTACCCTTCCTTAACTCTGTGGCCAGGGGCTCTTGTGCAGTGTACAGCCTGCACAACCTTACGTGATGGCTTCATCTGTCTTTTCAAAAGTTGCACCAGTGGCCCATACACTGACATAGTTACCAGTCTGTGGACTGACCTGTGCTATGGTTTTTTACTCTCGTAATTGAAGAGGTGGGGGTCCCAGGGAGCCTTTCTGTGACAGAAGTCTTGTATCTAGTGGCAGAAGGCTTAGGGGTACATTCATACCAGAAAAAAAAAAAGTTAAATGCTAAACTAAGAGAAAAGAGATTAGGACACCGACTCAAGCTCTAGGAGTTGTGGGAATGAGAGAGGAACTAGCAACCATGTATGAGGGTATGCAGTGGCAGGAAGAATAGAGAGAGAGGTGGGGTGCTTTATCTGAGCCCAGCCAGGAGGGGGGCATTAGAAAGAGGAAAGCCTACAGGCAAGTTTATAAGAAGAGCCTGTCTTTTCCCAGCAAGGGCAACTAGGCCTGCAGTGGTCCAAGCTCCTCTCCTAAAGGATGGCCTCCCTCTGTGAATTCCCCTAAATGTTCCAAATTTGACCGAGTAAGTGAACTGCTACTTTGGGTACTGATCTGTCCCACAGTGATCTCTCATGTGGCTTAGTGATGCCTGAATTGTTATAGTAAAGGGGGACCTACCTTTCTTTATGCAGTTACAGAAGGTACAAATTCAAGTGCAAATGAGCTTTAATTAACATGCATGCACCCAATCAACCAGGGTATTGAAGGGTGGACAGCATTCACGCAGAAGCCCATGGCTGTCTGTCTGTGTGATTTTGTGGGGAGGGAGTCCTATAAAAGCAGAACATCCGCAGAGTCCCTGAGGTGAGGGTGGAGGAAGGGGCGTGTCTTCCAAAAAGAAAGGCTACAGAAAAAGCCAGAGCTCCCAGAGTTGCCACTCTGCCTAGCAGTCTGTTCTGTGTGCTTTTATCCAGGTCCAGAATGAGGCAGGTCATGCTCTCTGGAGCTTTTGTCTTACAGCTACAAATGCGAACATCGATGATTTATACGACTTATTGAGACTTTTTTTTTCACTTGGTCATCTCTAGAAAGCAGATCCTTTTCTAATTCATCTTTAAAATTCATAGTATACAAATGGAAAAATTTGACAACCCCTTGTGGAGTGTCTCCAAGTTGTGTGCAGCCACAGTGCTGGGTGCTGGGAACACAAGGGTAAAGCGTTGCCAGCTCCTGGCCAGCAGAGGCTCACATGCTCTCAGGGTGGACACTGCATGGGCACAGGTGGATACACCAGTGAATAATGTCTGTACGCCAACAGTAAGTGGCTGCTTTGGTAGCAAGAGTGTTAGAAAGGAAGGAAAAGTGTTATGACTCTATACTGTGGTTCTTCTCTTCTATAATCATCAAGCCTAATTATTATGAACAAATCTTTCTTCGCTCTAATATATGTTTAATAGCTTGTTGCTCAGGAACCAGACATTGAATTGAAATAATGTCCTTCGTTCACTAGTGCCCCAAAGATTGCAGTACTGGCATGAGAAATATGAACAATTAGCAAGACGAGGAGCTTGGGTTCTATCTCTGAGAGGGAGAAGTAATGACACCCCAGATGATTTATTTTACCGCATTCATGCAATCACAAATGCCTAGTGAATGCTGGTTTCACATTGAGGCTGCTGGCATAATGCATCAGGCATGAAATGCACGAACATTTCTTTAGAGCTGCTTAGCTGAAGTTTATCACGATCATTCAGCCATTGCCTAGCAACTTGGGAAGGCTATCAAAGAGCTCTTTGTCCTCAATCCTGGCAAAAACAGTCCCTCACAGATCGCCTTATCAGCGTTAGAACGTTTATCAGGAAAAAATGCTTCCACTCGCCAGAGATCCCTGCAGATTTAAAGATACCCTCTGCCCATTTTGTTCCCTCTTCCAAGTGTGTTAGGGAATTGTTTTCTGAAGTAATTCCTATTTGAACCTTTATCTGTTCTTTGATTAACCTTCCAAAAGAATTTCTTCAAGATGCCTCCATAATTCTTCTATTGCATTGTAATTTGGGCTAGCATTAAAAAAAAAAAAAAAACACAGCCCTGAGCTCATAAAGGTATATCTTCTCAAAAATCAGCAAGGCAGACATTTCCACCTCTTTAGATGGGAAGGGTCATCATCTTTAGGCACACAAAATAGAAAGATGCTGGGTTTCCTGGTCTGTGTGTGCTTCTCATCACTTCTTTCAGGAAGGAGAGAATTATATAGTTGCTGGAAAATGATTCTGAATATCATGTTGGAAAGAGGGACTGTACTTATTGATGCATTCAACAAATCTTTAACATCCTCCATGTGCTAGGCGCTGTAGTGAACACAACCCCCATCTCTTTCATGAAGCTGCCAGAATTCATTCATTACCCTGCATGGAATATGGGGGACAAGAACAGGTACAGATCTTTCATTTCCATTCTCTCTTGTATTTCCCTGGAATTTATCCTCCTCTGCATCCCAGCTGCCAATGACTTATTTTAAGATCTTGTTATGTTTACCTTTTTTTTTTTTTTTTTAACCTGGATAACCTAAAACAGCCACCTGACCCAGGTCTTCTCTCTTCCAGGCTCACCATCCTTTTACTGTCTTCTGCCCTCCTGCCAACCACAAATTTAATTATGTGCTTCTGCTACTTAATTGTGCATTTGGTCCCTGTCAACCCCAAGGGGAAGCTCACACTCCACAGCATGGCATTCTTGGCTTTCTCTCCATGGCCACAGCCTGGCTGCCCAAACTCCTCTCCTGTTCTTCCCAGCCGCAGTTTCAGCTGTCCTCAATGTGTATGGGCTTCTTTGGACTTCTAAGCCTTACACCCACCATCCCATTAGCTTGGAACCCCTGTCAACCTTCACAAAGTATTTCCTTTTCTGACTATGGTCCCCAGACAGAGTTAGATGTGCCTATTCTAGGCCATTATCATTCTACAGTTGGAGGTCTTTCTTAGAGAACCTGTCACCAGCAAGTCAATAGACGCTGGATCCCTTGAATGTTGATTAAGTTGAATTCTTTTTTTTTTTTCTCCTGTCTTTGATAAAAAAGAGAACAGAAAAAAAATGTCTTGCAGGACTCCAGCAAACTTTGCAAAGATCGGGGTGAAATCAACAGACATAATTTAGGAATGACACACACTCCAAAAAATGGTTAAAGCAAATGTAAATTCCCTATCCTGAAAAAAGTTTTACTGCAAGGTTAACCTTACATAGAGGTCACATCAGTAGCCATATACCTAGTGTAACCTAGTGAAGTGATTACCCAGTTACCCCCTCTGTGAGCCTCACTGCCTTAATATTTCACAATTAGAGATTCACTTCTTAGGCCTCTCACATGTGTATTCCTTTAAAATATGAGTACTCTCGAGAGAAGGTAATAACTCAACAGTAATCAATTTATCTTATCTTTTCCTGACTATAAGATGAAAGGAAAGATGACAGGAGGGCACTGAGCTCTGAAGGTAAGGAGTAGTAGTAACAGAAAATGGGACAGCAAGAGGAAAAAGAAATGCAGCTTCAAACTTTTGTACTAAAGTTACCCACTGAGGCATACTTTGTTTGTCTACAAATAGATTAAGCAGTAATCTCTGAAAAATGATGACTCATTTTTATTAATGATAGAGAAAAAGAAAAGGGATTGAATTTCAGGGGAAGTTGGTCATAGAATTATTTTAATTGACTTTTCAAGGAAAGACTTATTTGCAATCCTGAAATAAAAGATTTTTAAAAGTAAGCTTGCTTCTGTTGAAATATGCTTGTACAATTGGAGACAGAAGATTTGATAGATGATCTCTAGAATTCCCTGTGATTCTCTGGAAATGAAATCATGGGTAAATCATGTGAAACAAGCATATCATTGTAATGGATCCCTTTGCTATATCATGGGCCCTGTTTCTCTATGAAAATTACCTCGATAAAGTTGATTATGACAGATGGTTATGTTATCCAGCTGGACAAACCTATTAGGGAAGAGGAGTCAGATATGATATAAAGAATCACTTTATTCAGGTTTGCCAATCTGCCCTGGAATCATTTTTCTTAAGATGCTCTGATTGAGAATGTGCTAAGTCATATATAAATTATGATAATCTGTAATGTAAAACAGTGGCAGATAATTTTGACCTAAAGTGTGCTCCATTCCAACCTAAGTGCATTTATTTAATGTGAAGGAGAAATTTGGCAAGTAGCTGATGAATCAAATCACCATGAATGGCTAAATCCCACCCTTCCTCAAGCTCCCACCCAACAAAAATGTGCCAAAAATGAGGACCAATTTTCAGGATAGTTTTCAGATTAACTCAGCTTCCACTTCTCCAAAGTCCTAATTGAGATTTACATGAATGGCTCCAAACCAAAATGGCCAGGGTTGTCTGAATATCTGTGAAGTGGGTGTCCCCATCTTAGCTGCCATTAAATAGGAGCCCTGGCTCATGGTCAGAGCTCAGGACCTGAATTTGAACAGAATGAAGCCTGTAAGGGGTTACCTTTGTTGATACTTTCCTCAGATTCACAAAACAAAATTTAGTTTTACAGCCTCTCTTTGAAGTGACTTATTCTGCAGTATGTTTGATGCTCTGCCTCTTGTAGATTTCAGTCAAAATACCAGATACAACTCTATAGCTGGTAAATCACATTTGATGAGCATAACATTTGCATATCATTCCACCTTAGGTTTCTTTTCAGAAGAGGTTTGAGAAAAGTTTTCAATTAGCAATAATCGCGCCTCGGATAAACCTCATTGGCTACGATACTGCCACCGTGCAAAGCTCAGAAGAGGTTTGAAAAAAAAAAAAGATCATATGTTCATGAACTCGAGAAAAAAAAATCGCAGTACGCCAAAATTCCGTGTTTTTATTCTTTAGGGAATGCTTAAACCCTGGTCAGCTTATGACAGGTCTGATCTCCTTCTTCAGCCAGCAGTGCAAGCTCAAATAATAGTCTATTGTCAGTTCAAGCTAGACACAATGAGGTCTGTGCGCTTTCATGCCTACTTAACAGCCTTTACCAAGTGGGAGACTTCAGGAGGAAAATGGGAACAAATCAAAAGTAGAATTATGGCTCAGCAGAAATGACTGTATACCAATTAGCAATGTTCACGTTATGGTTTGCGGCTGCCTCTGTTTTAAGGTTGGGCCATTGAAGCAAAAACTGCAGTACAAAACAGCTTTCTCAGCTTCCGTGGTGCTGGGTGGTGATAGCATTCTGGAATCCCTGAGTGTGTGCGTGCTTGTTCTTACTGTGTTTTCACTTGGTCTGAAGCCAGCAGTCGCCAGTTCACTACTAATTATAACTCACTGCTTCTCAATGCAAAGAGCATGTCTTTGAGTTGCGGAGAATTCTGACTTACAAGAAAGAGGTGCCTGTTGTATTTCAAATACAAACTTACCAAAGAGACTTCTATTTACCTCAAATAAAACCTTGTTTTATTTTTATTTTTGCAACTTTGGTTTTTCCTCCTTGTGTTTTCTTTAGGCATTTGTTCATCCATGACCAGCTGTAGAGTTTCTGTTCCCAGGGTGAGAGTTAAAAACCTACATATAATATCCTAATAATCAATAACATAGACAACAGCTATAAATAACATCAGTTGTGATATTCTTCCTTTATCTGCCCAGTGTCAGATGAAATTTTTAAAGAGGAATTTAGTGGCACAGATGAGTGTATTTTTCCATCCTGTACAATATATCATCAAAATGTTTTAAGATGGTGTCTGCTGAAGGGGAAGGTTTTTTCTTTTCTTTTATTTTTTTAAGATTTTATTTATTTATTCATGAAAGAGGCAGAGACATAGGCAGAGGGAGAAGACAGAGACATAGGCAGAGAAGAAGCAGGCTCCTCAAGGGGAGCCCGATGTGGAGCTCGATCCTGGGTCCCCGGGATCACTTCCGGAGCCAAAAGCAGACATTCAACCACTGAGCCACCCAAGCATCCCAGGAAGGTTTTTTTCTTTATGTACAACAATTTAACCACTTTTTACTTTTCTTTTATCTTTTTTACACTTTGTTGATTTCTCTGTAAAGATAAAGAATTGGGGGGAGGTTGCTGAGGGTCTCAATGCTAAAGTATTTTTTGATAAATTTTGCCTGTAATAGACAGAGCCCTTGGGCTTCCCATTTGCTCCCTCCTTCTAAAAAAAAAAGGAAAATCAGTATAACAAAGTTGTTTTATTGCTATTGTTTAATGCCTCCATAGAATATCATCCTGGGATTATTTTAATGTTATGATGACACAATATGTGATTACACAGTAGATGACGATGCATTGACATATATAAGTGAATTTTAAACCTCACACCATCCTCGCTCACTGTTGCCTGGGATAACTCAGCTTGGAGACCATGACCAACGATCTGGGTCTGGGACACGGGACCAATGGCCCCATGTAGAATCCCAGAGGCACGAGTCCACCCTGCCTCTCACTCAGCCTTGCTCATGTGCGTTGTTTCAGGTGTCCACTGCGACAGTGTGTGTGCTGAGGGGCGCTGGGGACCCAATTGCTCTCTGCCCTGCTACTGTAAAAATGGGGCTTCATGCTCCCCAGACGATGGCATCTGTGAGTGTGCGCCAGGGTTCCGAGGCACCACTTGTCAGAGAAGTAAGTGTCTTATCAGATGGCGATGTCTACCTTCCCTTATCAGACACTGTGTGCAGAATTATTGTCTCTGTCCCACCCCTCAGCACTCAGTGCTGTCCTGTCGCAGTCGAGGGCAGAGGAGACGATCATAGGTCTCCCTGTGTCCCTTGCAGAGCTGTCTTTGATAGCACTGCCCCAAGAGCTTTATTCATTCCAACCTTCAGGACGAGCCTAACAGATGGAGCTTTAGCCATTCCTTCTCAGTAATGATTTCAATGCCTCATTGGCATCATCATCGGGATATGTCTCTTGATCCTGCCTTAAATCTTGCAAATGGTGTTCCAGAAATCCATTGACCTGTAAATATTTGATTCAGCAATTTTGGCATTGGCCTTACCTCAATTACCAGAAGTCAACATCAGCCAAACCTTGCGGCAAATCATACATCCTGCTAGTCATCGTACAGCCAGTGCTGTGGGGAAAATAGCCCTGCAGAGTTAAAAATGGGGGCTGTTGACATTGGTCAATAAGACTTCGAAGCTAAGAAAGGACTTATAAGATTTTACTAAATCTTTTAGTAAATGCAATCAAGAAAAGAATATATAAGATACATTATCCTGATTTTTTGGACTTTTTTTTTCTCATTAAAAGCTCTATACACCTGTCCTGTATTTAAATCCTAGTGATGTCTTGAGAAGGAGCTAATTATGTAGCAGTTTATACTTGTTCTCTTTTCAATCACCATCATTTATCTGCACCACGTTGAGAAGGAACAATCTTTTTAATGCAGACCAGAGATCTATTTATTGCCGGTTAAAGACTCTTAAAAAATAAAGGATTGACACATGGCTTGAGAGTATTTATTTGGGATTTTAGAACTGTGTTTCTTTTCATTTGTTCCTTCAACAAAAATTCTTCAAGCCTTGTTCTGTGCCATGCCACAAGTGAACTAGGGCCATAAATGAGAAAATTGAGACACATGCCTGCCCTTGGACAATCCAGTCTAGTGGCTTCTTTTCATTATTCAAGAGTACCCTTCTTTCTTTGGTGGTGGTTGTTTTATACTTGGAAAATTCTCAATATCACTAAAAAAAATTTTTTTTGGCCCCAAACTAGAACTAGATCATGATGTGGAATTTGAGAGTAACACATCTCAGGAAAGATAACTGTTAATTTCCATTCTATTTCCAGTCTGCTCCCCTGGTTTTTATGGGCATCGCTGCAGCCAGACATGCCCGCAGTGCGTGCATAGCAGTGGGCCCTGCCACCACATCACAGGCCTGTGTGACTGCTTGCCTGGCTTCACAGGTGCCCTCTGCAATGAAGGTAAGGTGCACAAGTGTTTTTGAAGAGGTATGCGGTGATGGGCAGGCCACATGCAGTCTGTCCTCAGGCTTCCCTGAGGACACATTGTTCGCTATCAGCTATCCATGCCTTCTGGTGTGCTGGGTCTGTGTGGGATGACTAGGAGCTTCAGAAAAGCTGGCTTGCTGCTCCTGCAGAATCTCTTTATTCTCTGAGCTGTGTCACTCTTCGCTTTTAATTGAAAACAGCCTCCCACGAAAAATCAATACAGGGAAGGGTTTTGACTCCCTGAGCAAGAAGCCATGAAGTCAGGTTTCTAGCAATGTGATGATGTCTCCTGGTTTGTGATGCCTTAATGAGAATCTTCGGCTTCAAGTATCCGTAAAAACTGAGCCCATTCAAGATGAGGGATGCTGTTGAGTGGAAGCAGCCACTACACGGGCATCTAGGTGGATGGATTTCAAAGCTATTTTCTGCCCCAAGACTAGAGTTCCATGAGATGAGATATAATTGGGCATTACTGACCTATATAACATCTTCACAGTGTGTCCCAGTGGCAGATTTGGGAAAAACTGTGCTGGAGTTTGTACCTGTACAAACAATGGAACCTGTAACCCCATTGACCGATCTTGTCAGTGTTATCCGGGGTGGATTGGCAGTGACTGCTCGCAACGTAAGTCTCGTTTGAGAACAACCATTTGTATCTGTTTGTCTTCAAAGTCCTTAGAACTGAAGTATGAGTGTTTCTCTAATCAAGAAATAATATATGAATAATTATGGTATACCATATTTTAATTTTAAGTGGCCTTTTTCCCCATTAGTTGCTCTATGCAATGTTCCTATGTTAAATCCAAATAATGTCTTAGAAAGAACCTAAATAGGATAGCATTTTGCTTATTCACTTTTCAGTGATTCTTATTATGTAAAACAGGGGTATTATACTCAGAAAAGTCTTTCTAAGTTTTATTTCATTTTTTTCTGAGTTTTATTTCAGACCTCAGGCATCAGCTATTACTGTTCTTGGGAGAAAATGGTACACACAATTGTGGGAGAATTTTTTTTTCATTTTTTAAATTACTTCAGACATATTATCCTTATTGGGCCATATTCCTTATTGGGTAACCAAATAGGAATTATAGATGGTCCTCCTTTTTTTCCTTCCAGTTTTATTGAGAAATAATTGACATACATCACTGTATAAGCTTAAGGCATACAGTGTGATGGTTGAAACGTATATATTGTGAAATGATCACCACAGTAGGTTCAGCTAACCTCCATTGTCTCATGTTCCTATAATGGTGGTTCTCATTTTAAGCAGTTATATTCTTGAAGCATTACTATAAGCAAAAAGTTTTTTTTGCATTTTTTGTTTGTATATTTTTGGTAAATCAATTCATTCTACCTCATAATGATATTTTCTTTCACAGATACTTTATCTGAAGTTCTTACTGCTTTTCATTGGGCAGTGACCTCCAACGATTCTGTTTTGTTATTTTCTGTTCCATCCCATTAAGAGTTTTTTTTTTTATGAATAAACAGATTTTATGAGTAAACATATAATTGAAACCTTAAAATTTAGACAAGTTTCTAGTGACAACTCTGGAGTAGAGTGACATTGCATGACTCATGTGACACCAGGTCCCTTAGGTTCTCTCAAGTCACATCATTTGCCTATCTGATCTCTGCTTAAATGTCCTCTCCTCAGAGAATCCTTCCCTGAAGGTGTAGCTCTGGTCACTCTTGTCTCCCATTACCCTGTTTTATTTTTTCTAATAGTATTCATTGCCACTGTTTTTTCTTATTGGCTGGCTGGCTGGCTAGTTGGTTTGCCTGCCTGCCTTCCCTACAGAAATGTAAGATGTCAGAGGATGGTCTGGACCTTGTCTCGTCCTCTGCTATCTCTTTTGTGTCGAGAACAGTGCTGGGCACACAGAGTTCAATGTGCACTTATTAAGGAACTAAATCTATAAACTTAAGATAATCTTTGCTTTGCCCACCTGCTCTGTGGTCTGTCAGCAAATACAACATTGGTAATGATGGTTGCTGGTGCAGTCAGCATTGCCATCTGGGTATAAGTCCCATTTGGAGCACTGTGCTTTCTTAGTTCTGATGCATGCTGCTAATATCTCACATGCTAGGAGAGGTGGTGAGAGGATGGAGTTCTCTCTGCTGGGTGCTGACCTCCAGGCTCTAACAGAACTCTCCGTGCATGCTGTGGTTTCAGCTTGTCCTCCTGCGCATTGGGGTCCAAACTGCATCCACACGTGCAACTGCCACAATGGGGCGTTCTGCAGTGCATACGACGGGGAATGTAAATGCACTCCTGGCTGGACCGGACTCTACTGCACTCAGAGTAAGCGACAAGCCTTCCGAGGCTCACCCAGGGGAGCCGCACCCCAGGAGGGTGCACGAGCTGAGCTCAGCCAGGACTTCTGGAATTGGAGTGTTTCATTTCCCCGATGACTGCTAAGCATCTAAATGTCTCTGCGTGGTTATGAGCTGTCCTGTTCCAAGTTTTCTGTCCATATGTCATATCAGGACACTGAGGTAGAGAGGTGCTATATGTGATGGTATACAGCTTCCTTCCTAACTCTCCTTTAACCAGACCCTGTTTAGATGCACCAAACTCCTTATCATTTATATATACATATGTTTTATATATATATATATATATATATATATGCACACACATACGTATGCTGTTTTTAGTATGTGATTCCTTTCTATGAAGATCAAAAACAAATCGATGTGTTAAGATTATTGATTAGGAAGGTGCATGGAGAGCGATGAAAATGTTCTGTATAACTTTTCAAATTGGGGTGGTCATCACATGAATGTACACCCTGTCAATTATTCTTACAGCACAAAGGCTGGGGTAAGTGACAGCGACTAGAAAAGCAGTGAAGATGACAAGCCTCACTCCCTAATGTAATGTGTGCTCTTGGAGAAGATTGCATTCTGTGGTTCTCAAACTTGAGTGAGCTTCAGAATCACCAGGTGGTTCAATAAACACAAGACTGCTCTGGCCCCACTCCCAGAGCATCTGATTCACTGGGTATGGGGTGGAACTTGAGAATTCACATTTCTCACAACTTTCCACATGATGATGCCAGTCGGGATGATGCTCTAAGAACCACTAGTTCTTTTTTCCATTTTGTATCCCATAGTGTCCTTAACAATTTCTTCTTCTATGAAGTTTTACCATCATAGGATATAATGTGCAAAGTACTCTACAGCTCAGCAATGTCAGGAAAAAAAAGACTATTCTCTGTCCTCTTGCCTTCAAATGAATAAAGGAGACAAGGCAGAAAAACATGGTTTATTATTAATACAAATTTATAATTTATTCTTTTTAAACTTTTTCAATAATATATCATTTAAGCCACAGAAATGAGCTGAGAAAGAAAGATGGGTCAGAAATTAGGCCACTCTTGCCTAATAGTAATTAGAGAACATAATTAGAGAAGAGTTTGAACAAGCGTTTTGGAACTTTCTGGAAGAGGGTGTAGACCTTGAGCCATGATTCAAAAGGGAGATTTGGCAAGAAGAGAGGTTGTCCCGAGCATAATCTGCCAAGATTGTATATACAGAAAGGTTTTCAAGCTCGTTAGAGAAAAGTGCTTGTAAGTTATTGTTTATTATTCCAAAATTTGGATCTGTTTCAATTGGAGGACCTTTCTAAGTGGACGTAGCACAGGACAGTGGGAAGAACGTGGGATCTGGAGCCAGACTTGCCTGCATTTGTATCATGGCCCTGTCAGCCCGCCTCTTGCCGGCTCTGAGACTTAGGGCACTCGGGGCTTAGTTTCCATCTATAGGGAGGAATATCCACTGCTGTGTTTCTGGGCTACTATAAGATTCAGTGAGAGGACACATGGAAAGCATGTGGCCCCACGTAGGTGCTAAATAAAAACACGACAATGGTAGTGGTCATTGCATGCTGGCATCTGTGCTGTACCTGTTTCTTGAAAGTTGAACTTTTGTTAAAACCTCTAGAAGAAAAAAAGAAAATAAAAATCACTTATAATAGTTAGAAACGGCCATGGAAACAGCCTGTAATGAAGCTTTCATTATGCCAGGGAGCCCTGAAACACCTTTGCAAAGCAGCTCCTGTCCCAGGACAGCCCACAGGGCTTGTGCGTGTCCTCAGCACAAAGGCCCCAGAGGTCTGTGTCTTGAATATCATACAGCAGTGTAAGGTTTATTACTTTTTTATGAAGCACCTATGATATATAGGGTTTTTCTTTTTATTTTTTTTAAGTTTAGCATTCCACTACACCTTTGGTGAAAGACATAATAGTATATAAATTTGTGACAGATATAGTGGACAGGGCTAGTAGCCAACATAGAGACATTCTGCACTTTAAGTAAAGGCATACCAGTAATTTTAATATAAAATACTCATTTCAGTCCATGGCATTGGAGTCTAGGAGTCTAATAGTTAAATGAAAGAATACAAGAAAGGCCCCCATACTTCTGTGGGGTTTTGTTAGAAGACACTAGTCTTAGGCACCTGGGTGGCTCAGTGGATTAAGCATCTGCCTTCAGCTCAGGTCATGATCCCAGGGCTTGGAGATTGAGCCCTGCATAGGCTTCTCTGCCTGGCAAAGAACCTGCTTCTTCCTCTCCCATTGCCCCTGCTTATGCTCTCTCTCTCTCTCAAATAAATAAATAAATAAATAAATAAATAAATAAATAAATAAATAAAATCTTTAAAAAGAAAAAGAACACTAGTCTTGATTTCAGAGCACCAGCAATGGTTAAACTGTCAGGTGTGGAATTATTCTGCTTCCCGCTCATGAATTATGACCTCCTTGCAAGAGCCCCATCTTGGGACTTCAAAGAAGCCTTTGTGACAAGCTGAGATCTGTGTTATTGTCTTTATACACTCTCCAGTAGCTCAGCATCCTTCAGGTTTAAACACAAACAATTGGAAGCAAGAATGTCCTCCCCTCACCCCCCACCACGCAGCCTCCTGACTCTACTGTCCTTCCCTCCTGCACAGGATGTCCCCTGGGTTTTTACGGAAAGGACTGTGCTTTGATATGTCAGTGTCAGAATGGAGCTGACTGTGACCACATCTCTGGGCAGTGTACATGCCGCACTGGGTTCATGGGGAAGCACTGTGAACAGAGTGAGTATGAGAGCGTGACATGTCCAGGTGGTATTTTCCCCTAGAATCAGTTTTCCTACATGCCTGAAAATAGGAAGGCAGCATCTGCAACTTTTAAATTGTTTGAACTGATGGCTGGTCACTGACCAGCACGGTTGACTATTCCCCCTCCCAGAGACCAGGCCACCTTGGGGTCCTTGCCGGCTGTCTTTTCTCTCCAACTTCTTCTGGGTAAGTAATCAGTGCTCTGGGTGGAGGGGGTGTGCCTTCAAGGATGAAGACAGAATTCAAGTTTTCCATCTGTTCACCCTGGCTCTAACTCTCTTGCTTATTTTTGGAATGTAACTGCTCAGAGCTGTAAGAGCCAGTCAGGTTTTTTTCAGGACAGAGGCAGAGCCCGGGCTGCACACTGGATGCGAGTGGCTTCTCTGGGGCCAGGCTGAGTGCACAGGAGGCAGGCGGGTTCCCAGCCCTGCTGTGGGTGTGGAACCAGGTCCATGCAAACGTTGCCCCCCTTCTGACAACTTTCTCTAGATAGTACTTGTATATTGTTTCCCCTAGCAACTTCTCATCTCAGTCTTAACAATCTTCAAGACAATATATTGCCTTAAAATGTTGTATTGTAAAAGTCCCACTCTAGAAGAATATGCCAAGTTGCAATTACACATCTTGGCTTTGCCATTTCCACCCCTACAGCTATGCCTCTGCAGGGTTATAAGAAAATTAGTGTTAGACCGAGTATTTCAACGTAGTCTATTGTTCCTGTACTCTGTGACTTTCATTCAATATTCAGAATGAATAAATAGGGTCTTAGAACTGTCTGGGGATCACCCTCTTATCATAGATGACAGGAAAGGGGCCAGATCTTTCTTGCTTATCAGAGGGGGCACTCCTGGGTAGGATGTAGCAAAGATTACATGCCCATAGGAGCAATGTGGCCTGGAAAGGTTGTTCAGCATGATAGGACTTTGACGAGAAAAGATCACCCTCTCTCCACCCCAGCAGCACTTCACAGCACCCCTGGACAGCCAGGTTGTCTCAGTCTTGTGTGCTGAACCCTGGAAATATTTTTGCATATCTTCCTGTCTAGTACATAACAGGAGTGACCTCCCAGAATCAGCCTGGATAGAGATGGCCCAATTTTAGTTTTGTACTGATATTCATTTCCTCCTGAAACACACAATGAGTCACACGTTGCCTGCACACCCCTTGTGTATACAAATTTTGTGCGTCTGTCTCTATAAGTGTCTAAACATATGTGCATATATATATATATATATATATATATATATATATATGCATAGAAACCAGAACAGGCTCTAAACTGACTGTCACTTGGAAGCCAGACCAGTTATATTCTTATTAGATAGAAGCTGCTTAGGTCCTTCTGTGATTACTTTGAACATCAAATCAAAATGTTCCTATTTTTGGAGACTCCCTCCTGATGCTCATTTGTAAACAGAAACACTGGTTTTCAGAGAACTCCAATAATAACAGCATATTGCCCCCTGCTGCCCACTTTACAAAAAACATCAGTATTTGGGAATGATTTCTGGATTTGACGCACCTATACTCTTTGAAATCCACACCCAGCTCTTATTAGGAATGCATCATAAAAATCTCTCCATTTAAGCCTCTCAGGCTTTGACCTGCACAGCCCAATCTTGAGCCATTCTATGGGAAATGAAGTTCTTACCTAGGAAATCAACAAAACTTTCCCCTCCCTTGTCCCCTACTCCCAGCTAATCCAGGTCGCTGGTAGGAGTGTCCCTGAGCGTCAGTAAAATGCTCATGTTCTTAAGGATGCATGTCTGGATTATACTCTTCAGTCTTCTGTCTCACTATTTTATCTGGTGGGGTCATCCCAGATTGCCCTTGCTGATGATCTTCATCAGTTCTCTTGGGTTCTCCAGACTCTCTACTTACCCATCAGGGCAGTGGTACATAAAAACTGAAAGAGTGAGGAGCTCAGTCTCTGGCCTCCTGCCGCCTGGCCTGAGTCCAACCACAGGTCAGGGAATTCTGGCCAACTCTAGGACTTCCTGGGTGGTTCCGCCTGTGCAGTGATCTCCTGGAAGAGCTGCCCTCTAGACACATGGGATCAGATAGTAAGAGAAGCCTCGCCCAGATTCCTGAGGCTGGAGAGCTTACGCTGGACTTTCATCTCCTTCTCAGAGTGCCCTGCGGGAACATATGGCTATGGCTGTCGCCAGATATGTGACTGTCTGAACAACTCCACCTGTGACCATATCACTGGGACTTGTTACTGCAGCCCAGGCTGGAAGGGGGCACGGTGTGATCAAGGTAAGGACACTAGTAAATGATATCTAGTGTCTCGAATTGTGTAACCACCATGTACCAGCCAACATTAAGTGTTTGCACCTACATCATCTGATGAAATCCTTCTCCGGACACTCCAAAGTCCTAGCTGGTTATTTAGTTGCCAGATGGATGCCTTATCATTGCTATCCTACAGGTAAGGAAACTACAGCTCAGAGAGGCTGAATAATTTGCCCAAGGTTCCACCACTAATGTATAATGCATAGCTATTTGTAGGCCAGGGCTTAGATGCCAGGTTTGTCTGATTCCACAGCTCATGAACTGTGCCTTCAATGCTTTCACCTTTATTGAGGTATAACTAACCTATAAAAAGCAACGCATGTACACCAGTACATATACGTATATATACATCACACACATACAATATAAAGTATACAACCTGATAAAATCTGACAGACATATCCACCCATGAAACCACAACCACAATGAAGATGGTGAATGCATCTATCACCCTCAAATGCTACCTTATGCCCATCCCTGTCACTGCCCCTGGGGTACCAGGTAACCACTGATCTGGTTTCTGTCACTACAGATAAGTTTGCATTGCTTAGGATTTCATGTATATCGAATCACACTGTACTCTTTTTTCTTCTGATTTTGTTTGCTTAGCACAATTATTTTGAGATTGAACCATGCTGTTGTATATATCAATGCTTCAATTATTTTTATTGCTAAATAGTATTCCATTGCATGGATATATCATATTTTCTTTACTCTTTCACTTCTAGATGGACACTTGGATTGTTTCCAGTTTTGGACTATTATCAATAATAGCAACAGTATATCAGTCTTTGTATGGAGATATACTTCTATTTGTCTTAGGCAAATTTATAGATGTAGAATGGCTGGCTCATATGATAGTTATATGTTTAACTTTTTGAAAAATATGTGCCAATGGTTTTTAACTAGGGTGTGTATCACAATAACCTGAGAATAGTTGTCTTATACATAATGGCACGTGAGCAATTCTGATTCTGGGATGGATGGGGCCTCGTAGAAAGTTCTTCTGATGGTTCTGAAGCATGGCCACCAGAGAGCTCCTGAGGTGTGTCGCTCTTTTCAGGAGGTAACCACACATGGGCTGTAGGGACTTTAGAAAAGTCATAGAGTTATAGGTGCCATCACGTTCAAGTGTGTACTATATTGGCATTCCTATTTCATTTTCTTTTATTAAGTAACTTCTACATTTTCACGATTTATATTTGTCTGTCCTGACAATAGGATGTTATATTCCACAGTCACATCATTATGACACATGCCTTGTGGTCACATGGCACTGACTTTGGTGCTCTGCGTTTCAGGGCAGGCTAAGAAGGAAGTCTAACCCTTAGAATCATAAAGTCACAGGGATGTTTGAGCCGGAAGCCCCTACTTGGAGGCTAGTTTCTTTATAGGTGCTGAAACTCTAGCCTAAGTGCCTGAAGGAAAAATCAGGATCTCTGGATCAAGTTTTTTAAATGCCCGATTTCTTGACTCAGTGCATATCTTCGCTGTCCTCATCAGATGGAACATGTGAAAGAATCATGTAAAGCTAAAGTTTAAATTGTAATGAATAAGCTTTCAGGGTGATGTTGTCAGGTGTTCCTGGGACACACCTTTCTGTCATAGAAAATAACTGCACAGAGCAGTATCTCCCAGGGTTAGAAAGACCACTGAAATTAGGATAAGGCAGGCCCTCATCTTGGACCAGATTTACAATGGAGTTGTCCTTGCTTGGAGGAGAATTGTCCTGAGAAATGCTAAGGGTAGACATAAAATGAAGTCAAGCAGTCGAAGCATAGAGAAGTTAGCCCTTCATAAGTTTACTACTGTTTAGTAAATAAAGCATGGTAGATAAACTATTACATCCAGTGAATTCCTGGTCTGGTCTAAGTGTTTCTTAGTGTTTATGTGAGAAGCTTCCCAACCCTACTGTAAAGTCCTTGGGGTCAGGAAATCCAGTGTCATTTTTAAAAATTTTTTTTATTTATTTATGATAGTCACAGAGAGAGAGAGAGAGAGAGCAGAGACACAGGCAGAGGGAGAAGCAGGCTCCATGCACCGGGAGCCCGACGTGGGATTCGATCCTGGGTCTCCAGGATCGCGCCCTGGGCCAAAGGCAGGCGCCAAACCGCTGCGCCACCCAGGGATCCCTCCAGTGTCATTTTTGAGACTTAGAGCAGCTTTTTTTCTGGACACAGATGAGCCAACAACATCTGCAAGTGGAGAATGTTTGTTTTTCCTTCCTGCAGTTTCTAAAAGTTTACAAATTAACATTTCAAGAACTGAAAACATCCCCGCATTAGCACAGTGAGAGAATGTTGTAAATAAGAGTTCAAACGTCTATCCAGCAGATTGTCATCCTGACTCAGATCTCTTCTCCTTCTCCTAGCTGGAGTCATTATTGTTGGAAATCTGAACAGCTTAAGCAGGACCAGTACAGCTCTCCCTGCCAATTCCTACCAGATCGGAGCCATCGTGGGCATCATCATTCTTGTACTGGTTGTTCTCTTCCTCCTGGCGTTGTTCATTATTTACAGACAAAAGCAAAAGGGAAAGGAATCAAGCATGCCTGCAGTTACCTACACCCCTGCTCTGAGGGTCATGAATGCAGACTATACCATTTCAGGTAAGAATGATCCCTAGAGCCATCTTACTCCTTGAAAAGGAAGGTTTCATCCTGGTTCTTTGAAACTGGGCATTCGGCTGTGCTGTCCATTAGCCTTGAGAAGATTTTATGTTTGGAAAAGATACATTGTTACAGATGTGCTTTATATGTCAATAGTAGTAAAATCATCACTGTTGTCTTCTATGAGGGCTTTTGAATTGGATTCATCATGAGGTTGCTTTAGACTTGGGAATTTCAATCTGGTGGAAGCTCTGCTGGGCATCTAAGCTTTTGTCATACGTTGGGGACTGGGAGCGGAGAGGAGGAGGCACCCATAAGTTTGATAAGGTCATGGAGCAGATCAAGGATGAGGACCAGGTCTTCTGTCCCTGGCATTGGGTTTTAATTTTTGTTTTTGTTGTTAAGATTTTATTTTATTTGTTTATTTGAGAGAGAGAGAGAGAGAGAGAGAACCAAAGAGTACAAGCAGGGGAACAGCAGAGGGAGAGTGAGAAGCAGGCTCCTTGCTGAGCAGGGAGCCTGATGTGGTGCTCAGTCCCAGGACCCCAGGATCATGACCTAAGATGAAAACTAACATTTAACCAACTGAGCCACCCAGGCACCCCTGGCCTTGGTATTTTAACATGGTATCTTCTAACCTGTCCCTGAGCCCATACAAATCATTAACTACAGAGCATAAAAGTTATATAATAATCAGTTGTGTGGTATTAACAAGAACCAAAGATGTTCTTTAGAAAACTCTTTCAAATCTTTCTGTCACAAGCCTCTATAAATGTAAATTTTTAAGTGACATACTCATTCACCAGAGGAACTAACCACTTAGGGGAGCTTGGGTGGCTCAGTCAGTTAAGTGTCCAACTCCTAACTTAGTCTCAGGTCATGATCTCAGGGTTGTGAGGTCGAGCCATGCCATTGAGCATGATCCGCTTAAGATTCTCTCTCTCTCTCTCTGCCCCTGCCCCCACCTCGCTCCTGAGCACGCTTGCTCTCTCAAGGGGGAAGAGGAGGAGGAGGAGGAGAAGTACAGGAAAAAAGAGGAAATCGCTTCAATTAAGGAATTTGAACACTTAAAGTATCTATTGTTTTGGAAAATTACTGCAGGATTTCAGATGGGTTACATGTTTATAAATACACTGATTCTAGGGGAATACCTAAAGCAGTTGATTTACTTAATAGTGCATTTCTAACACAGTATATTATGAAGAGAGCTTAAGTGTCTAAAAATAAAAAAGAGCCAAGTTACAACAGAAGTAGCTTCAAAGTGATGGCTCCCCAGGTGTATGAGCCCCAAAGCAAAGAGGGGTTGTCTGAGGACACTTGTACACTTTTCAGGAGGCAGGGAGGAAGGCAGACACCTGCTGCTTCTCGAAGCTTTACTGAGTGTCCTGGGCAGGAGAGGATTTTGCCCAGCCTGTGATATGGAAGCAGTACAAGTGTTTGTTCTGGTTATTTTGCTTCCCTTTTATCTGCACAGATTTGAGGGAGCCTGTTGCCTTAACCGTTTCCTTCTCTTCTTACAGAAACCCTTCCCCACAGCAACAGTGGAAGTGCTAACAGCCATTACTTCACTAACCCCAGTTACCACACACTTACCCAGTGCGCCACATCCCCTCATGTCAACAACAGGGACAGGATGACCATCGCAAAGGTGAGAGGAAGGGTTTCCCAGTCCCTGAAGGTCGGCAAGGGAAAGAGGAAAGGAACAAGCGTTTGGGACAGCTGCTGTTTGCCAGATGCAGTGCTAGGCACTTTATATCTCTTATCTCCTTGATTCCTCCAATTTTCTGGGTGCGTGTTAGAATCTCAAGTTTACTGGTGAAAAACTCGAGCAGCAGACAATATGATTCACCTCAAAACACAGTTCCCCAGTTCGTGAGGGAGACAGCTGCAGTGCAAGCCATGGTCTCCTTGTCTCCAATTTGCACTGTTTCCAGTGTACTTCTTTGGAAAAATGTTTCTCATATTGCAGAGGCTTGAAAATGATGTCTCATAGCAGACCTCAGCAGACTCCATCCTGGGTCCTTTCTTTTGTCTTTTCTGATCAGCTGTCTTCTAATGCCCTTTAAGGGCCATGTGTCCTTTCCCAACAAAAACAACATTCATTTATTTGGGTTGAACCACATGAAATTGCCTTATTATAGGTCAAAATGATCAAATAGAAACTATGTGTCAAGCACTCCAAATCAGTTTACAAGTATTAGTTCATTTGCTCTTCATACCAATCCTGTGAATCAAGAGTGATTGTTATCCTCATTTTATAGACACACAGAGAGGTTGGACACCCAGGGCTGCTCTTCTAGTACCATTCACCTCCCTCTCAGTATCCTCTAGAATGCTCTGAAATCCCAAACAGGTCTTCCTCCCAATTGTCCCAAATTATATTTCCAATCTCCATTGTCTCATTCTAGCTACTAGAGGAAAACCAAGCTAATTAAATTAATTCAGTTGCAATTATATTAATGCAGCTGGATTTTAATTATAGGACCTAATAGTTAAATAGCATTTCACATTTCCCAGAGACTTTCATATTCATCGTTGCATTTGTTCTCCTATGTTTTCAGGGAAGGAGGCAAAGTACACAATCTTATCCTCACATTTATAGTTAAGGAAATGGCCCAGAGTCACTGGTGACTCAGAAAAAATTATAGTGTTTGACAGGAGAGCCCAAGCCAAGAATTTAACTTTTCCATTCAAAGTTCCACATACATTAACTCAAGTAAAGTCTAATGTGCACAGAGTGACTAAGTGAAATGAAGAATTTGAGGCAGGAGGGGAATAGTTTGGGCCAATGCACGTGTACTCCTGCTGCCCTCTAAGATCCAACCAGTTGTCACCTCTGCCTCTCTGGACCACCTCATTGAAGCACCAGCTTTTGATCCATGTGACATGCTTTCCCCACATTGACAACATTGTGCTGTGCCACATGGTATTCTCTCTTTACATCTTTTATGGTCTCTATTTTTAACAGTCAAAGAACAATCAGCTGTTTGTGAATCTGAAAAATGTGAATCCTGGGAAGAGAGGCCCAGTGGCAGACTGCACGGGAACATTGCCAGCAGACTGGAAACATGGCGGCTACCTTAATGAGCTTGGCAAGTTCTCCCAATATCCATCCTCAACAACTTCCTTTATCTTTTAGTCACCTTGGATAGTGATAGATTTATGATATGCCAAAGCAATCTTTTGGAAATATGCATCAAAAAAACAGAATGATAGAATTTTACATAATGCCTGTATGGGGCTTATTACTGTCTTAGGCACTTTATTCATCTCACAAACATTTAATAAGGTCCTAGTGTGTACCAGGAATTGATAATGAGACACATGAATCTCTGCCTACTGGTAGCTCCCATTCTAACTCTACATACATTAAATTAAATGATTCTCACAAGTACTCTAAGTAGGTACTATTATTGTCACCATTATGTCCATTTTACAGATGAGAAACTGAGTTACAAAGAGGTCAAGTCACTTGAGAAAAGTCTCAAAGCCTATTAAATGGTAGAGCTGGGATTTGAATCTTGTCTGGGTGGTACCAGGAAATGTGTTACTTTTTGCTCTCTTTTAATAAGAAGCACCCATACTTGAGGCTCCCTTTCCCCTTTAGGTGAAGAAATAAAGATATCAACAGGAACATAGTAGGTCAGTGTTTCTGGAACATTTTGGATCAGGAGCCCTTCGTGAAAGTAATCGAGAATGCTGAAGAGCTTCTTTCAATATGGGTTATATCTGTTGATGCTCACTATGTTACAAGTTAAAACTGAGACTATTTTAAATAATTATTTATTGCTTTGTTTATAATAACAGTAGTCTAGTTTCATGATAATATAAAACACTTTTTTATGAAAAAATAACTATATGGGGCACCTGGGTGGCCCAGTGGTTGAGTGTCTACATTTCGCTCAGGTCGTGATCCCAGGATCCTGGGATGGAGTCCCACATTGGACTCCCTGCAGGGAGGCTGCTTCTCCCTCTGCCTGTGTCTTCCTCTCTCTCTGTGTCTCTCATGAATAAATTTTTAAAATCTTTAAAAAAAAAAGAATAGAGAACTACACTTACTGTTTTAGGTCTTTTTAATATCTGGCTTCAGAGAAGATCAAGTTTCATATCTGCTTCCCCCATTTAATCAGTGGTGCAGCTCCTGGAAAACCACCACACACAAAAGTGTGTGAAACAAAAGTGAAATCAGCAAATAATGTCATTGTGTTATTATGAGAATAGTTTTGATCTCGTGACCTTCCTGAAAAGGACCTTCCTGGACCACCCTTAAAGACCTGGTGTGATACCCCACTGAGTGAACTGTGCCATTGCCAAGCAGTTGCCAAATTTCAGGGAGGAGCTTGATGATGCCATAACAAATGTGTGCATTACCTTATGGGTAGCAAACCCTTTCATTTGTATTTATTTGATGATGGGGTGACCGGGAAGCCCAGTTAAATTTGAATTTCAGAGAAACAACAAATATTTTTAGTATAAATATATCCCAAAAGTTGCATGGGGCATACTTACCCTAAAAATTATCTGTTGTTTCTCTGAAATTCAAATTGCACCATCCTTACTTTGTTTTTGTTTGTTTGTTTGTTAATTTATTCATGAAAGACAGAGAGAGAGAGAGAGGCAGAGACACAGGCAGAGGGAGAAGTAGGCAGGGAACCTGACATGGGACTCAATCCCAGGTCTCCAGGATCAGGCCCTGGGCTGAAGGCAGCGCTAAACCTCTGAGCCACCCAGGCTGTGCCTTACTTTGTTTTACTCACTGAATCTGACAACCCTACAGAAGGGCAGGCCCTTCTGTGAATCTTATTTTATAGAGGAATAAACTGGGAAGCACAGAGAGATTAACTCTATTGCCCAGGATTTCATGGAAGGAAGAGGTTAAAGCCAGGTCTCAAAGTTCATATTCTAACTACTCCTCCCCTGCTTTTTCTGTGAATACTACATATGCCAAATCACCTGAGCCAGAGGAAGGAACCAATCCGTAAGGGCTCTGGAATCCCCCATTACTATAAAAATGCAAATCTTAAAGTAGGAAAATACAAATTCTTAACTTTTCTGTGCACTCTATATCAACATTATCAAATAGCTGGATATTTCTGAACATAGTCATTTATATACCAGATTCACAGTATACTCATTGGTCAAATCATTTAACATCAGAGAAAAATTTTTTTAAGTCTATATTATGTGAATAATGTCACTCAAGAAATACATGAATTGATGTTAATTAAGTACGTACCTGGCACTAATGAGAGAAAAGTTCTCTTATTCCATGTTTACCTGCTACACTTGGTCTGGAGACTCTAGAACACAGTCACTGCAGTGGTCACATATGAACTTCCCTGCTTTTCTTCTAAGACCTCCAGGCCTGATTGTTGAGAATGTAAAATCATCATCACAAATTCTGAGTCTCCTTCATGTGTTCCCATCCCAGAGAAATTCTTCATTTAATGGCCCTCTACAGTTGTTGCACAGAAAAAGTCTTGCCTTACAAAGGACAGGGTAAGGCACACTGTGGATGATGAAATATGTAGGTGTTTTTTTTTTTTTTTTTTATGTAGGTGTTTTAAATGATGGAAATGTTGTGCTGACGTTGTCTGAAGGAGCCCTGAACCTGACACAAAAGCCCTGAGATTGATTCCATTCTGTTATATGGCCCTGGGCTGATCACCCTCTTGAGGCTGATCTGTTCATCTGTGACATAGATAGTGATCGTGTGGTGGTTCATGTTATGAATTAGATTAAGCCAAGCATTTGAAAGTATCTATCCAGAGAGTGGAACGTACGGGGGATTATATGAAGAACCCTGGCTACTCCCTCATTAAAACAGCACCCAGAGAGAACCTGGCAGGGATGCTGGTGTCATAGCGCCCCTCTTGTTCCTTAATTTACTCTCCACCTCATGCTGCTCCTCCCCTTAGCCTCTTGAAGAATGTTATCGATTGCATAACTAAGACCAAGATGGACATTTAGTAAGACTTTGCTATAATTTGGAGACAGCTAAGTGAATCTGGCAGAGTAGCAAAGACAGAGTTCCTTTATAGGGAGCTCTCAGATGCCACAGGCTCTGACTATCCTCATGCAGTCCCTTTACAAAGTGTGAGAATCCCTAAGACCACCCTCACAATCCATAATTTGTTAGAATGACTCACAGAATGTACTGTAAGGAGTTATACTCATGGTTACAGTTTATCACAGCCAAAGGATACAGATTAAAATCAGCCAAAGGAGGAGACACAGTGGGTAGAGTCAAGGACAGTTCAAAGTCAGAAACTTCCAGTTGTCCTTTCCCAGTGGAATCATGGAAAGTGCTAACTTGTCCTGGCTACAGTAGATGACAATATGCATGAAGTATTACCAGCCAAGGAAGCTCACTTCAGCCTTGGTGTCTAGAGTTTTTTTTTTTAAGATTTTATTTATTTATTCATTTATGAAAGAGAGAGAGAGAGGCAGAGGGAAAAGCAGGCTCCATGCCAGGACCCTGATGTAGGACTTGATCTTGGGTCTCCAGGATCACACCCTGGGCCAAAGGCAGGTGCTAAACTGCTGAGCTACCCAGGGATTCCCAGTGTCTAGAGTTTTTATGAGAGTTTGATTAGGTCAACATGGTTGACCACCCAGGTGGCTGACCTTTCAACTGGTCCCTCTGGAAATGAAGCTGACACTAAGTGGCCCAAACCCCCTCCCATAAATCACTTTCATAGACTATTCAGTGGAGCTCCAGGTAAACAAAAACACTGTTACTGGGTGGGATATTTCAAGGTCCTAGAGATCACCTCCCAGTAACTAAGGGCAAAGGCCAGACCTCCCTTTGGTTAGGCTAATTTGCTATTCATCCTTATCTTGCCCGGCCTGCACAACTGGACATCTTTCCCATCAGCTGGGAGATTGGCTAGACTTCACAACCCAGACCCAAGAGAGGGGAAAACATCCTCTGAGAGAGGAGGACATTCCCATTTCCTGTCCTACAATGAATGATATTAGACATATCCTCTCCCTTTAGGGGATGCTCCCTTTTTCTCTACAAAAGTGTGTCCCCCAGGACATCAGAACTTGAGTCTACTATCATTCTAAGGACACACGCCCAGTGGCAGGGGATTGTCTCCTTACATTCTCATACTTATTTGAATGTTCGCCGTAAGTCATTACTTTACTCTCTTATTCTAACATAAGTCTATAACATTTCTTTAAGAGATCATTGAAGAGGACTTGGAATGCTTGCATGTAGACTGGAGCTGGGGGTCGTAGGACACATTCACTGTTATAGTCACTGAAACACCATTCATTTATATGGCGCCTCCGAGTTTACAACGCCTTTTCAGGTGCTCTAGTTGATTTAATGATCACAACAACCCTGTAAAGTTTGGAAGGCACGTTTTGTTTTCCTCATTTTAGAGATAAGAAAATTGATGCAAAGAGAGTTGAACATCTTGCCCAAAGTCATGCAGTGAATGAGTGAGGAAATCCAAGTCCTTTGTCTCAATTCTAGTCCGGCTGTGCCTCTTTCATGGTGCAACCTTGAATCAAGTGTACCGATTCACCCATGTCTTATTTTCTACCTGTACTGATCAGCCTTTCCCAAAGTCACTGTAAATGAGCAAGAGAATGATCAGAATGATATATATATGTATTTTAAATTCTAAGCCCTGAAGACATCAAGCATGAGTGATCTGGTGCAAAGATTTGAAAAGCAGCAGCCTTGGTTATTTGTTGCAGTGAGGAGATAATGGATGCCCACACCATCGTCCTCCATAACCTTGGAATATTATTTGGTTTTTCTCTTCTTTCCAGATCTAACTGGGGATTTTTTTTTCTTCTTTATCACAGGAGCTTTTGGACTTGATAGAAGTTATATGGGAAAATCCTTGAAAGGTATGGTGTAAATTTAAAGAAGAAATACATCTATCAAATCATAATTAAAAAATTTTTTTTCAGAGACCAAAATAATTTGCTAAACAAGCAAGAATGGCAGTGTAAAGAAAATGTGGAGCTGTTGGTATGGTTAATTAGTCCACCAAATATACAAACACGTTTGACTAAGGCCAAGAGCATGACCATAGGTGCATTGTGTTAGATCATAGTTGTGGGGGAACAAAGGTTTCAGTTTGCTGGGAAGACACTCATATTTCTTTGAGAAGATATATATGATTTACAGGGAGAAGGAGATGCAAAAAAAGGAATTAGCAGGAAAAACTAGAGCTCAGCATTGTTACATGAATAACTTCATGTGCCCAGTCTTGAGGTTTTACAAGGAAGTCTGACATCACAAATGCCTCCCTTACCATGATGATAGAACTTTCTTGTGCTCCCAGGGGCATCAACAGATGATTTCCTGGTCGAAAACATTGAGAATTCAGAGACTATTAGTAAATTAGAATGGAATTGAGTGTGAAATGAAATAAAAACGAAATCAACTCTACAATGTTTACCTTTATACTCACCTGAGAGAGGAGCTAAGATTACTTTATAGATGGTAATTTTACATCAGATTATGTCTAAAATAAGTAGAAAATATATGATGTTGTTGTCCATATATATAACTATAGAAAATTAGCTACAAAGAAAAGGAAGTAACCTGTCCAAGTAAAGTATTAACAAGAAAAAAATTAATAGCATTTGCTTTTCTCCCCCATCTCTCTACAGATTTGGGAAAGAATTCTGAATATAATTCAAGTAACTGCTCCTTAAGCAGTTCTGAAAACCCATATGCCACTATTAAAGACCCGCCTGTACTTATCCCCAAAAACTCAGAGTGTGGCTATGTGGAGATGAAGTCACCAGCACGGAGAGATTCCCCCTATGCAGAGATCAATAACTCAACTTCAGCCAACAAGAATGTCTATGAAGTTGGTGAGTTCCCCTAACCAAAGAAAGAACCTAAGATGGGAATTTCTGGCGGGGGAACAGTTTTAAAGTCTTTGAGAGTACAATAACAGTTCGTATAAACATCACTGAAGACAATGGTCCATATTTTCAGTGAGACCTGTGTTTTCAGTGACCATATTAATTGGTGTCAAATAAATGTTTAATGGAAAATACCATTTAGAAAATTTAAAGTAAAATTTCCCTCTCACCTGGTCGTCCATCTTCTGTTTCGTAACCATAGTGACTCTTTTAGTGCACCTGTGGAATAGCATATGTATTGTATTAGCTATTGTGTCGAGTTAGCCAAAACAGGTGGTTCAAGGGGATGAAACAGGTGGTTCCACTTCCTGGTTGTATATTCATTAGATTAAATATAAAGCTTTTAGCAGGATGGAAACATTTTACTTTAAATTTGTCTGATATATTGCTCATATTCTTGGATATGAATGGGATGGAAATTAATAAGAATTCAGTTTAAAGTTAGAGTGGTTTTGATTGCCCCTTGCAAATACCATTTGGGGAAAGTTAAAACACATCAGAGCTGTCACTGGTTAGGTAGAGTAGTATGTATTTTAATTTTTCTTTCTATCTCTCAATGTTGGCGATTCGAAGTGGCTAATTTTTTAAAATATTTTATTTGTTTATTCATGAGAGACAGAGAGAGGCAGAGACATAGGCAGAGGGAGAAGCAGGCTCCCTGTAGGGAGCCCTATGTGGGACTCGATCCCAGGACCCCAGTGTCACAACCTAAGCCAAAGGCAGACTCTCAACCACTGAGCCACCCAGGTGACCCCAAAGTGGCTAATTTAACTCTAATCACTAGTAATTAATTTATGCAATACACATGTCACTGAAAAGATAAATAACGATTCTGAAAGAATTAAGACAGCTTTTTAAAAATGGAAGGTGTAGTGACCTAAATTTATTTTTGAAAAGTCAGTTGCAATCCTCCTTTGAACGATCCTGTAAACCCACCACTTTAACACAGGAACACAGCTGCTAGCCTGGGTCCTGAGTCTTAAAGTGAACTTAAGTAATTCCATAAACTGAATTAACCTGGAAGGACCTCAGTCTTCTCACCTATGGGGTAAAGGGTTTGGTACTAGATTATTTCCAAAGCACTTTTCAGACAAGGATTCACTTTCAGGGTTTCTGTAGAGTCCTTGGATGTCTTCATTCTAACCCTACGGTCACCTTTTTGTTCAGAACACCATGGTGTGCATCAGCTGGTCTAACAATTGTAGAGTAGCCACCTCTATGTGATTATAAAACCATCCTTCACTTCTTAACATAATATTTCCTTATATTTTTATAAGGGCTCCTCTTGTATGTTTGAGATTTGCAAGAAATGCCATATTCTATTCTTTTTAAAGTTTTCCATTGCTGATAAATTCATATGTCCCTGGTTGTCACAGAACCTACAGTGAGTGTTGTCCAAGGAATATTCAGCAATAATGGGCATCTCACCCAGGATCCATACGACCTCCCAAAGAACAGTCACATCCCTTGCCATTATGACCTGCTGCCAGTCCGAGACAGTTCATCCTCCCCCAAGCGAGAGGATGGTGGCAGTGGCAGCAGCAGCAGCAGTGAATGACACCAAAGGACTGCCCGGTAGCCGCTGGAACAGTTTCCAGAATTGCAATTCGGTTCTTCTCCAGCGTCAAGTTTGCCACCTTAGGTGAATGTTAATCTACTTGGTAGGCAACTGTTGGACGTGAACCAGAAAGCTCAAAGCTGAGGCTGACTGACCATAGGTCCCTCTTGTACAGGTGGCTTGGAAGGAGATACCAATGTGACTTCCTCGTCTTCTTACTCATAGAACTGCACCCGTGAAGCACGACTTCTTATAAGATCCAGGCTAAAAGCGTGGACTTTCTGAGGTCCTCGGGAGGGAGTCATGGGGTGTGGTGGCCATTGGTATTACTGCTTGAACAATTAAAATTTAAATATTTTCTTTCTCATTTGCATTGCAGAGCTGTACCGAGGATTGTGCAGTTTATCATAAAATCTAGTGTGAATCACCATACATGTAGAAGAAAGGGGGTCTATTATCGAGTCCTTATGTGTATTTTTTTCAGCGGATCTCAGAATTATAGGGATAATACGAACCCAGGAAGAAGTGTTCTGTCGAGTGGCATACCTGCAGAGACTTTGGATAGACTCTAGAATTGGTTAGCACATTTAAATATGGAAACTTTAGACTTTTTTTAGGATGAAGAAATGAAAAATTAGAGTTATTTTAGAAATAGTAGAATTATTTCAGGAATCAGTATACAGGTGTGGCCAGCAGAGGTTAGTCGTCTTTGACCCTTGGCCCACTTTGATCCATGACATCATTCTGATCGCTGTCCCCATTGTATATATTCACCACTTAAGGTCCATAACATATCAATAATTATTTCATAAATGTAGAAATGAAATGGTTTTATTTTTGACAGACTGGATTGAATGAGTGTGTAATGATTGGAAAAGGCTGTAAATTTTAAGTGTAAGAAGATGCTTCGGTTTTGTAAACCATTAGTAACACATGCTGTAATATAGAATTAGCAGAAAGTTTTGATTAATTTTTCCCCAGAAGTGACCGGAATATTTTTGTGCATATTTGAGAAAAGGGCACTTTCCTTTTATTAATTGTTGATTTAGAGAAACTATGCTTAAGCTGGTCTTTTGCATTGCTAATATGATGTGTACCCCATTTTTCATTAATTTGTATTTCCATTTTTAAGTTGTATATTCTATGTTTTGTAGTGCTTGGATTGTTAATGAAAAAAATTATATTATGTTCATTGTTTCTTGTATTATTGCCACTTCTTGCTTGATAAAAATGCAGCGTCCTTTTTTACTTTTGGAGGGAGGAGATGAAAATATATAAATCAACTCTATTAAAATTGATCATTACTAAAATGGTAAAGTCACCATAGGTGAATGGCTTATAATTGAAATAGAGAAGCTGCTAAATATTCCAAAATGGAGCTCCTTTTGGTCTGTGGGTTCTGAGTATTGGTTAAACCAGGGGCAAGGGAAACGAGGAGCCGTTGGTTTATTGAACAAGTACCACAGACTGGTCTTACTGAAGACCTTCTCTGGGATGATCACACAGCTGATCATCCAGATTGGGACACTATGAGTGTAAATGAGGGCATTATTAATATTTAACCTACAATGGGCTTAAATATGGACTGTCCCAAGCAAACCAGAATAGATGCTTGTCTTGTGCATACCTGTCACGCACTAACATTTTTCAATTCAAGAGAGTTGTCTCCAGAGAATGCCAACATGGTGCAAGAAAGTCGGTTTCTCTTTGATCTACCTGAGCCAGTGGAAGGTCTGAAAAGCTGCGTGAGGAGCAACCTTATGAGAGCAAACAGTGGCTATGAATCTTTAAGGACATGAAAACCTATATGGTATCTCAGCGAGTCAATTGACACATATGTATTGTGCACCCATTCTGCCAGTAGTATACATAAGGCATTGTCCCTGCCAGCCATCAAGTTAGGGGATCCTGTCATTTCATGTCACACACCTGCACCTGTGATGATAGTTTGGTCAGGGAGATAATAGAACAAACAAACCTAGAGCATTCACTCTTTTGATGGCTGTTTCTTGTAGAGAATCTCAAAATGAATTCAAGGAAATATGGAATTACCCAGAACACACCTTAGAAACAATTGATTCATTCCAACAGTTGACCTTTGGTCGACCCTTGGCTCTAGGGGGTAGGCATCTCATTGAGACCATTGTGGGTCAATAGCCAGGAAATGTCCTTTCTGGTAAGAAAAAAATCATTTTCTTCTTCTTTAACCATCATCTCTTCACTGCTCCACAATACATTTGAGTTTCTCCATTTCTTCCTATACATAATTTTAAAGACAATAACTTCTTTTCTCATTACACTATTAAAAAAGAGAAAACCCTAAAAGCTTCATGTACAAAGACAACAGCATCTTATGCAGAAAGCCCAGGTGACAGATGTAGACTGCAAAGGGCCACTGCCATTCCTCCCTGGGTGTTCTTTCTGGCAGATCAATGGCTCAGGATTGCTGCTGTCCTGAAACCACATTTGTATCAGAGGTGAGTCTTGCTCACTAGAGTTCATTCGAGATTTTTTCAAACATCAGAACACACATAGCATTTTGGACATCGTAAAACTACATGGTGTATTTGGAGAGGTCTAGCTGACAAGACAGAACCTCCTAGATATTTTGATATAGATTCGGGTAAAGAGAGAAATATTTTTGTCAGAATGAAAATTAAAAGGCAAAAGGACCTGGCAAGTTTTTTTTCCCTCTGAAATTGACACCTTTTGGACTCTTCCAGATATATCAAATGTAATTTAATGGTGATGTCATTCTTCATACACAGGGAATCTATTCTCGTGACCTTTGAACTCATTCATTTGGGACCATAAAATTAATTTCTTCCTTATATCCTACAGTGGCCAGAGCAGTAAATGAGTTTGGCAGTACCAAGGAAAAGCCATTCTTTCCCTTGAGCATGCTATGTCGGAAAATTTATAGACTATTTGTATTTATATATAAATACAACAAAAGTGGCCCAACATAGCTTATGTGCTTGTTTTAATATGGAGAATATGTTATTTATAGTTAATTATATGATAAGGAGTATTTAATAATTATTTACAATGCTTGATATAAATTCCTCTCACATGCTACAGTCATTAGGCTAAAAGAGAGTTTAATGTGTTTAGCATTACCTCTATGGTAAATTATATTTGCCAATTTTAGGAATTTTATAAGATAGTTATAACCTGCCCCAACCAATTCCATTAGCACAACCACTGTGTTTGTAAGAAATGCAGACCACTTTATGAAAATGTGGTTGCCACAGAGCCACAGCAGTACTTGACAATTATTGGGGATTTTTAAACCATAAATATTGAAAAAGTTGCATAGGAATATAACACTACTAATTCATGTCGATATTAGAAGTCCAGTTACGACTTAAAATAAGATGAAGTCATAAAAACTGCATTTTAAGGCCATGTTTTTTAAAATAACAAATTTTCTATCTTCAGGTAACATCTTTATTATTCAAACTAAGTATTTAATTGATATTTTTATCTTAAAGTCTTTACGTCTGGAAAGTGTATATAGATGTACAAATATGAGTCACATGTTGTGGATGACGGCTTATTTCTTAATTAAAGATGTACAGTTCAGCAAACTGGCCTTTTTGAGTCCTCCTATTAGTGGCATCCTAACCCTGAGTCTGCTTGTTTTCATTCAGTATTTAGTCCAGACTTCCTTTTGATATGAACAACTGCAACATATATTTTTAAAAAGAGAAAAATCCAAATACATAAGAATTTTCTTGATTATAGCAAACAAAAAAAATGCTTTTGGTGTGAAAATATCTCTATTTTCCAAATATGGTAAACTTTGGTCAGTATTAGCTTATGTTGTCATTTATATCACTAACTGAGTTTATAGATTAATGCAATAAACTTTCTAATAAAAAAAACTTTAAAGTAGTGTTTATTTCTATATCTGATTCTATTGTTAATTAGTGAGAAGAAAAAAATTATTATCTTACTGGAAAAAATAGTATTTTTTTTCACGTGTAGCACCATAGCACTTTATGTAGGCATATAAAAACAATTACATTTTATTATATTTAACTTCCTGCATATCTGCTCTCCCTTCAGACTACTTGTTCGTTAGGGACAGAGGCAACATTTTGTACATATTTGGATTCTAGCAACCCAGGTCAGTAGTTGAGAGTCAAGTCTTCTGTAAAGAGTTTTAGGTCATCTTATGTGAATTTGTTTGTTTCTTTCTTTTTTTTTTTTTGTGAATTTGTTTCTTAAATCTCAGTAGCTTGTTAATTCTTTATTTTATAATTAAAATATTTTTGGAGCATCCACTTTATAGCACTGTGTTCTAGAGATCAAATATGAATAAAACATTGCTTCTTCTCTCAATTACTGTTTATTTACTGAGGGCCTGAGTGCCAAGCACAGTTGGGGATGCAGAAAAATATGATACATGAGCTATTTTAAAGTAGCTCATTATTTAATTAGGAAAATAAATCATCTTACTATCCATGTGACTTTGGTAAGTTACTTAACTTCTCGGGGCCTTAGTTCCTATATTATAATATGTTAGAAATAATAGTACCTATTTCGTAGAGGTTTTGTGAGAATTTAATAACTTTATGCATACACAACACTTCAGCGCCTGACATATAGTAGATAGTTGGTAAATGTTAGCTATCATTACTGTTATGAAAAATTAGCTAATAACCTAGCCATTTTATAATAATCAGTTGAGTGATGAGGCTGGTAAATAAAAAGTGAACATTTAATGAATATTATAAAAGCTACATATTTTTTGTGACCTTATCCCAATCTATTTTTGTACTGTCACACAATTCCATATATATTTTATTTCTAGAGTGGTAATTTAGGAAAGCAATAATAATGTGATTTCATCTTCCAGCAGTGTGTTATCTTCCTAAGAACTGAGATTGCTTTTAAAATGGGTGAATGTGGGTTTTCTGGGAAGATGGTGACCTGGTTTTACATTCCTATCCTAGAGAATACAGGTATCCAAATGAAGTCAGGGGCTGACCTTGTCAACCTGAAGAGGTTCCACACACAGTGAGATATCAAGCTCTTGAAAGAAGGTGCAAATGGGGGGCAAAATGTAAATGGAAGTTGCTGGAATTGATGGAAGTAGAGCCTGGAGGGGATACACAGGGAGGACTGGTTGACCTGAGGAAAGGAAAGAAAGTCTCTTCTTTTTGCATGACACAGCTGTGAGACAGGCTACCTGTCCTGTGCCTGATGGTGTCTCAGGAGGGTTAGTTTCCATGTTGGGCTAAGGTCAGTCTATCCCTCCTTGGACTTGTGAACTGGGAGGCCTTCACGAAGTGACCACGGGAATTGCCAGTAGCCACTGAAGGAAAAATCCCTCTCCTGGCTGTGAGTACACAGGAAAGAGCGGGACACACAGGTGTGGAAAGCCAGCATGCTATCCACATGAAGAGGCAGAGAAACATCACAACCACTTCATGGGAACATTGCAGCCCAGATGGAAATAAAAGAAGCTGATGTGCAAAACTACAACAAACCTCTGTTATGGAGGCAGAGCTACTGTGGAAAATGGAGGAAAACCTGGATAGAATAAGATTTAAACTCTTGTAGGGACATAATTAGAGGACCGGAGAGATTTTCCTGGAACTGAAAACAATGGTTCCCAGCTTAAAAATTCAATAGAGGAATGTGAGATTCAGATAAGGCTGAATTCGTGTTTAAAAGAATGAACTACAACCACAAGAAAAAGAGGGAAACTCATCCAGGAGGACCCAGTGTTGGAACAGTTGCTAATACAGAAGAGGAAAAAAAGGTGCCTTGGTGGAGTAGTAATCAAAGAAATAAAGTTTCCAGAAACTCTGCTCTTCCATAATGTGAATCTTTCAGATCTTTAGGTCTTTCTTTCAGTTGTGAAAGACCTATTGGGCCAATGAAACAGAATTGATGAAAAAAAAATATGAAGAGAGAGAAATCCTGGTAACATTCCCAAACTCTGAGGCTCAAAGAACAAACCTAAAATGGTGCAAGCAGAAGTGGCAGATTGGTTACAAGGGAAAGACATAATTCGATTGAATGAAGCAAGTGTCTGGGGGGCGGAGGTAATATAGCTGCTGGCTGTGCTTCCGCTGCAGAATCAGTTACCCATCTTCTTAGAGCAGCTTGGCTACCCACCAGCAGATTATTAGATAGCCCACATTCCATTCTGCTGGGAATCTCTGACCCAACTAGCAGGGACCAGAAGAGACATGGCAACAGGAACTGAGAAAGCAACTTGTGTGACAGACCGGCACAGGATTCACTAGAAATACTGAAGCACCAGTTTATCACCTTTCAGTGAATTTGCTATCAAGGAATCACCTAAGTGTGATCAGAAAAAAAATTGGAAGTCGCATGGCTGTAGGCTAATGAAAGGCTGTTCTTCCTCCTATATTGGTGGCCTGGACTTCTTTAATGATGATAAAGCAATAGAAAACTCCACATATGCCACAAAATGACCAATCTGCTGTGGTATATTTGATTTGATTATTAGCAGAAGATTGAGACACTTAAGGAACAAGTGATCTTTAAATACCTAAAAGCAGATTTTTTTGTAACATAGACTGAACACAGCATAAAACAGAGGCCATATGGCTTCACTAACATTTGAACCTTTTATTTTAGGTGCATCTTGGACACTGGGACAATTAGGAGAACAGACAGGAACAGTGTCCTCTCTGAAGTTCCAGCCCTGATCAGGGATTTGAGACACAGCTTCCCCAGTGTTTAACAGTAGAATTTTATTTGCTACCCTGAAATTAAGGTAAAGAATTTAGTGATTGTAGATAAAAGCCAAAGTATATTGATACAGTAGTCATTACTGTATCACAGGCAGGTTTGGAGGTTTCGTGCTTGAGTTCTACGAAGCATGACATGCCAGAGGATTATGAAGAAAGCAGAGCTAGTATTTGTCATCATGTTCCAATGATTGGAGTCATGTTATACAATTGATTTTATAATTAATGAGAAAGAGATCATATTTTGTATTACATATTTCATACAGATGGCTGGTAAACCTGGCTTGACAATATTATAATATTTTTATATGTTATAATAATTTAGTCAATATATCAAAGCCAAAATGATGAATTATTTTGATTCAGATTAAATATCTGAATCCTGTGTGTGACAAAAAAGAAGAGGGTTTTAGTTTTTTCTGGGCCTCTCGTATTTTGAATATGAACTACTTTTATCATTCTTATTATTCAAAATTGGATGGAATTTAATCTCAAGATAAGATGCTTAAATTGTAAAAATATAAATGTGCAAGAACTTTTTTATTTTGCATGTTTTATATCTTGAGAAAAAAATAAATGGAATACTGTTGTTTTTAAATAAATAAAGTAAAAAATGTTTTAAATCCCTGTGGTCTTGCTTACATATTCATGGTATTCTAATTATTATTATTTGTAAGAATTTACTGTTTTCCCCCAAAATATTACAGCAATTTTTTTATAATAATTGCTCTTGGAACAACGAAACTAGCACAGACTATTTTGCTTCAGTATGCTCACCTGTAGTATCTATTAGCTTTGAGCAGGGGGTGAACAGAGAATGAGGTCAATATCAAGTCAACGTTGTGGGGTGCCTGGCAGGCTCAGTAGGTTGTGTCTGCCTTTGGCTCAGGTCATGATTGCAGGGTCCTGGGATCAAGTCCTAGGTCGGGCTCCCTGCTCAGCAGGGAGTCTGTTCCTTCCTCTCCCTCTCCCTGTCTCCCCTGCTTGTGCTCTCTCTCACACACTCTCTCTCTCAAATAACATCTTTTTTTTTTTTTTTAAGTGGATGCTGTGTTAGTTGACTTGCAATTTCTCTTAGCCAGAGAGAGGTAGAATAGTTGGAGTCGAATTATACTCTTCATCAGGAAAAGGGAAAACTTGGTTGCTCAATCGTTACTCCTTGAGAAAGACCTTTCCTAACCACTTGTGGATAAAACCATCATCTTGTATCCTATTACCATGCTTGATTGTCTTCATCGAGCCTTGGTCTCTGAAGTTACATATTATTCAATTGCTTTGTTTATTCTTTCATTGTCTTGTCAAATAGATCATAAGTTCCTTGAGGGCAAGATCTTTTCTGAATGGTTCACTGCTGTATCACTAGAACAGTAAGGCCTGGCTGATGACAAGGGTTCAATAAAGACTGACTGATTGAGGGGAGTCTGGGTGGCTCAGTCCGTTGAGCATCTGACTCTTGATGTCAGCTCAGGTCATGATCTCAGGGTCATGAGATCAAGCCCTGCCTCAGGCTCCCTGTTCAGTGGGAGTCTGTTTCTCCCTCTCCCCTTGATCCTCCCCCTGAACACTCTCTCTCTTTCATTAATAAATAAAATATTTTTAATGATGATTGATTGATTGATTGAATAAATGAATAAATGGCTTCTGCTTACTTAGGCAATGCAGGTTTCATTTTGCTCTTCCTCAGCATTCCTCCTGGGTGACTTGGAAATGTTGCTCCTTCCATCCTATCCTACCACTGCAGTCACTCACAATGACAGCTACAAGTTCAAGAAGCTGGTAACCTGAAGGGATGTAGGACAAGAGACTGTATATCTAGCAAAATATTTTCTCACTTTCTTTCAAAGCTCAGTTCAGGTCTTTGATATTTTCCCCACAAAGTTGAGAGTACCAGCTCTAGAGATTTTGGATGTCAAGAGCATTTCCATTGTATTTTTGAATAGATGTTTCGAAGGCGTGGATTTTAATTAAACCTGTGATAGTTGACATCACCCAACCATTGCTTCTGTTGAATCCAGTATCACAGCCATGTTAGAGTGTTTGTTGGCCTCCAGTCTCCTCCCC